TCAGTAACATGTTGGTATAAGATAAGAATTCTAAGACTGAATTGCATCTGCTTCAACAACACCATATGCTAGTGCACAGTATAAATATTTATCCAAACCTACTTCATCTTCTCATTTAAAGCTCAGTCACATGTGATAGTGAAAGTACCCTTCAGATACCTCAGCTAGCACTGAAGCATCTCCCCAGTACCAAACACTGAGGTATCTTCCCTTTCCTAACTTCATGGAGGGTTAAATGGAGGCATGTTTGTTGTGCCTTATTTATACAATATAAAATACCAGTCTTCAAGCTCCCACTAAGATGCCTTTAGGAGCTACAAAGAAGTTTCTCACTGACAATGTCCAAGCTTCTCTACTTTTCCCACTATCCTGTAAAACATTGAAGTCTGCCCACAGCCACAAATGGGATACTTTCCATATCCACTGTTCCTGGGGGAATTTTTTTTCTTTTTTTTTTAGGATTTTTAGACTGGTTTATCTTGCTTGTCAAACAGTTAAGTAATCACCAGGTTTGAGGTCAAATTGGCAAGGACCATGGAATGGGTTTTGCATTTCTCTGCAGCATGGGGTACGTTCAACCTCCCAAGAACCTCACAGTTCAAATTTCTTCCTATTGCAGGAATCTAAAGCATTGGCAATTCCTCTGATGTCACATGTTTTTGGGTTGGTTTTCCCACCACTTGGCATCTTATAATCCATAGCTTTTAGTCCTTTTATGTTAGACGCTGTAATACATTGTGATTGTGGCAGTATTTGGACTCTTTGGACTAATCGGATAATTTCAGGGAGATCGGGCATGATGACCTCAATGAACCTGACAGCAATCTGCTCTATGAGACAGTGGTTGCTCAATTACACTTGAGATTTGGCTCTTATTCTGCTAGTGAAATCATTTGAGAACCTGGACCTGAAATAATCATTTGTGAATGCAGAAGACGATAGCACAGGCAGAAAATTTATGAGGCTGACCTCCTCCCTTTGCCAGCTTTTAAAGATCAGGAGAGCAGAACCATGCTGAAATGGTCCTGGCTGTATGCCACAATCCCCAAGCAGAGCTCAAAACAGAAGGGGTTAGTACCAGTGACCATATGTAGTCCTCCAACTCCCTGCTACTAACTGAAATGAAGAACTAGAACAGGATAGAAAAGCTTGAGTGACTACTGGCAATTTGTATGATACAAAGACCTTAAGTATAAAATCTACAAACACAAATTTGCTCAAAATCAGTTTAAGGAATCAGATATTCTTTAGCATTCCTCAAAGAGCTGGGCACTGATTTATCCAACCAAAGGGAAGAACAGATAATCAGCAAAATGAGTGATTGCTTCTTTCACAAGCCTCACACAAAGCGATGTCTGCTTGCTTTGTCATACTCTGTTGCAGTGATGTCACACTAATCAACATGTGATGCAAAATTTAAGTCACTAGTTTGAAGTCAAGTTGTGTAACTTTTCAAAGAATAGTTGTACCTTAAAATCAGAAATTAACTTATAGAGTAAAACACTGAAAAAAGGGGGAAAAAGAGTTTTCCTGACAACAACTGGAAATATTTAGCAGTGTCATCCCCAGAGACCCAAATTCTACAGCCAGTCAATACTGAATATTAAAGCAACCTAGGAACTTCAAAATCCTGCTGTTCCTGTCTTCCACTGCTGACAACAGCAGACAGCAAAACAGAGCTGTAAATAACTTAGAAGTACGCATCGCAACACTGACTCCTTTCATAGCCCTGTGTCGCCTCCAGCTCCCACTTGTTAATGTGCTTACAGCAACCACGCTCTTCGCAAGGCTGTCACAGGCAACTGCACTTCAACAAACCCTGTCTAAAAATACTTTAATAAAGCTAATTTACAAGATTATTTATTAAATTATTTTCTCAGCTTCATACTTGAAACCTCAGAGTGCAAATACTAATCCTATTTACCAGCCCCAGAGGAGGTATCAAGATTTAAAGCCAAAAAACATACACCCTCTCACACCTCTTCAGCAGACCATGCTTGCAGGGATTTTCTCCGAATTAAATTGTCTGAAAATTTCCCCAGAAGATGTCATGCATGAGGAGATGGCAAGTGCTGCCACGCAGAGTGCATGTGTGAGACAGAGACCTGTGCATCCCAGCCACGCGGTCAGAGCTCCATCCCCAGCCCACTGAGATTTTGACTCAGACTCCCACTTCACAGCACTCTGGAGCAGGGCAGGACCCCAGCCAAAGTCAAACTGAAAGCAAGCCACCAGAGTCTTCCAGGTAGGTTGTGCCTGTAATGTTTACTGCTTTATAAAATACACGGTAGAGTATTAAGTGCACAAACTGAGGTCCTAAAATGAGACTGTAGGCAGCAGTCCTCTCTCAACAGTTTGTCCAGTGTAATGCAGAGATGGGAATATAGTGCTCTCCAACAGAGGTAAGTGCAAAATCACAAGCTTTACAAATAAAGACACTTCCAAAAACCATTACACTGGATACATCTCCTTAGGAGGAAAAGCCCTGCTGCTACTGCCAAGAACTTTTCTACAAACTGCAACGCCAAGTCTTGGCTCTTCTTCAAATTCTTGCCCTTTTCATCATAGCCAACTTTCCTTGTTAGCACTTCTTTGGTGTAGTGCTCAGAGCAATACTGGCAGACAAAAGCCTCTTGCATCAGCCCACCAGAAGTTACCATGCCCCAAAGTCTATTTTCAAAGTGCCCCTCCTGCAGCTTCCACACAGGGGAAGGTTTATTTTCAAGGAGCTGTCATATAAAGCCTGTCATATGATTCCTTTAAATTTGCCAGATTGAAGATTCTGTAAACAGATGGATTAAGTGACATAGATTTTTTAAAATTTCAAATACTGCACTATAATTTACATACCTATTGCCATGGGAACACCTCAACAAAACCTCTCATTTTCCAAGAAAACTGGCATTTCTTCACCAGGAGCTAAAGGTATTCAGTGTTTCTGAAAATGGGGTGTCGATTTTGGTGTCTAAACAGGGACTCATCTAAAGTACTGCCATAATGTTTCATGTGCAATTCTGCTCTGAAAAGCTTTATATAAAGTTAGCATCTTTGCAAATAATCAGATCTGCCCTTTGTGCAAATTCGAGGACATATATACCAGTTTTACTGTCTAAAATACTGCTCTCTCCCCTCAGGACCATGGACTATTTTACATTCTCACGTGTTGAATGGTTCAGGTAAACCTCTGCGACTCCATCAGAGTACATGAACGCATGGGGAGCATGAATGAAAGATACAAGGGCATAATTTGGTACATAAAACCAGTTTCAGAGGTGAAATACAGAAGAACCCAGCTTAACTGAAACATCCTAGTATGTAGTCACAGGACTGCCAGCATGAAACCAAAAGTAAAAACAAACCAAAGCCCTACTATATTCAGCTCTAAGCTGCTGAGTGCAGAAGTGAAATCTCTAAGATTATACATATGACACCATAGTGCTATTTTTACAAGTCAGGTTTCAGAATAGATCTACTTTGTTGCTAGCTGTTATATTCAGAGACTAAACGATACTGTAAAGTAACTCCCAAGTTCAGGATCTAGATCATACACATGAATAAATTCATTATTTTAAAATTTAAGTCCTTTAAATTTTAGGCAAGATTACTGTTTGAAAATTATACTCTTCATATAAAAATTGTAATTGTATATTACATTTAAGTATTGTATAAAATGCATTAAAAATTCCAGCTCCCTCAGGAGTCAAGACATTTGCCAGCAGAATGTGTCTGGGCCTTGTGCACCAACAGGCTCTGCAGCTGCCATTCCCCCTCCCAGGGGTTTTTCTTGCCTGTGCTCAAAAAAAAGTAAATGTTTCAAAGACAATACATCATTGTAGGTTTCATTAAAAAAAAAAAAAAACAAAAAAACAAACAAAACACCAGCAGCTGGAGAGAAGAAACTCCTGTAGTGCATTTGCTAAGGAGGGTGCCATGGCAGGGCTGGCATCGTGTGATGGGCAGGATGCACATCCCTGGAGTCGTGGCAGCACGCACTGCATCCAGCTTGGTGAGTGTGAATATATAGGCAATAGGCAGCTGGGGTGAGTGTGATGGGAAAGGGAGATGTATCAGAAGGCAGGGCAAAATTCATGGCAAACTGGGCTGCATGTGGAATACATCTGAAACCTTCAACTGTGTTCTTAACCATATAATAGAAGATGACACGAACTGATAATGTGATCATTGTGTCTGGCTCAGCCTGGACATTGGAGTAAGTGTCGCAGCTAATTTCCCTTTCTTGCTTTTATCTGTACTTGGCATAATGCTTTGTTTTTATTTTTCCCACTGTACAGGACATTAATTCACAGATATATGCAGGATGTCATCCAAACCTGCAGGTGAGTCAATGGGCTCTGCAGGAGCAGTACAAAAGTCTTCATATGGAATTTGTATTTATTTATTCTTAAATCATGTATGAGACTATTTCAGCTCTTTATGAAATATTAAAGTATCCTATACTCTTCCTTCCAAAATATCTTGAATCTTAACTGCTTTACAGTGAACAATAGGTTATGCTAGCTTCACTTTCAATAGGTATGTCTGACTTGGCCTCTTCCTATATAGGTAATGTCCAGAAGCTGCACACCAGCAACCACATAAATTGCAAAGTAAAAGAGGGAAGTTAAAACTGTGCAGAGTTGGAAAAAGCTGAAGACAAACAAAAAAAGCCCCCAAAACCCAAAACAACAACAACACCACTACAATGAATAAAAAAAAACCCAAAGAAACCCCATGAAAGGAAAAAGGTCAAGAAAGCAACTTGGAAAGGATAAACAAGTTTCATGAGGAAAAAGGGCTTGAAGAATCTCAAGGACATTAGAAAAGAAACAAGAGGAGAGTGAAAGGCAGCAGAACTCACTGTTCACAAATGCCTGACACTGAGACAAAGATACTCAACCCTGGAAACAAAAGCACCTCTCCCTCCTCAAGTACAGGCAGCCCAAGACCTTCAATGAGCAGGACAAATACTTCTGGTAAATCATTCTGTTTTGAAAACCCACCTTCATCCCAGCCGCGGCTGCTGGCCCGCTGGGGTCCACAGCCTGGATGTGGCAGGGCTTGCTCCCCCGCACCACAAAGCCCCAGCCCACTGCATCACCAACAATCTGGAAAGTGAAAAGAAGGATGTGGTCACCTTCAAGCAGATCCATGAAATTCAAGGGAGTAATAGATAAATGTTTGAAGATATAATTTCAACATCTCTCTACTTCCAACACCTAGTAAAGGACATTGTGTACAGGCTGCTGTATCACTCAAGAGAAAGGCTCTATCCAAATGATTCTTCTTGCCTTTAATGAACCTCTTTTGTGGAACTAGGAGGCTGTAAGAAACAATGCTTCCAATGACTAGGTTCAAAAATGTCTTTACAGAAAGGCTTTGTCTAATACGAATCAAAATTTCTGTCCCATCATAGTCTAGGAAGACCTAAGTAGAAAACTTCAATTTGGGTGGGTAATCCACTCCTGCAGAGCAAGTATTACCAGGAGCACAAAGTCTAGATGAGTTTGTATAACAATTAATAAATGTTAATTGCTTTATGTAATTTTACAGTCCATTTAAGTCAGCAGTACTACACTGGCATAAAGACAGGATAAACAAGTGCAGAATCAGACCTGAAATGTGTGGAAGTACTGATAACGGAGTTTGGGATTTTAAAGTACAAACCTTAGCAAATGCAAATAAGCTCTGATTATCCCATCAGAAAATGTCTGTTCGGATTACTTTATGCATACAACACGCAGAAAATTTAAAAAAAAAAAAAAAAATTGTACTGGAGACATACCGTAAATGTTTTTCTTACGTATGGGGCTCCAGGCATCAAGAGCTCATCAGCACTCACAGGTCTCTTCAATACTGTGGAGGTACATAAATGAGTATTCAATATAAACATTCCTCTGGAGTTTCTCCTAATAAATAAGATACAGTGCTGGGATACATCATTTTGGTCACATTTCCCATACAATCTTTCAGTTCTTGCAGACTTGCTTGAAAGTAGTAAAAGAGCCAAGGAAAAAAAACAGCAGAATAACTCTGAGTACAAATTATGAGATCTTTGGAAGATCAGGGCATTTGTTGCCTGCAATCAAGATACGCTAAACACTACCACAAACATCAGAAGTGGCTGTTGCAGTGTTGAAATGAGTGACTGACCTTCCTGACATGGAGCAGCTTTTCTTCACGGCTCATTCTGTGCATGTTGGGTGGTCTCTGCTATTTTATGAGTTAGGTTTGAATCACACAATTAAGTAATAAGAAAATTCTGCTTGAGTCAAGAATTATTCTAACAAAGAGATTTCTGCAATTGTAGGCACTGATATCTAACGCCATCTGATCCAGGGACAGCCTAGGTAACCTATAGCTGACTGGGATTTTACATGCAAGGAAATACCAGTGAGTTTCTGCAGGTGATTCCCCACTGTCTTGCTATGCATTGGAATAATTTACCCCTGAACAAAGTAAATTTAAAGTTCTGCCAAATCAAATCAATACTATTCTGTGTACCATTTCTTTGTCTACAAATGCTTCAAAAAATGGAGGACAATGGAAAGATACATGTTGTTCACTGTATCTGCCTGCTTCACCTCTAAAATTATGGCTGCTTTTCATTTAGTGATAAATAATTTTGGTGATGTCTGCCTTTTCAGTCACAGGTGGAAGATAAAATTTCTCACAGATGGTGTTCGAAGACATTCATGAGTTTCTTAATGACATTCATGGAAGCAGGGAGAATTCTAGCATACAAACCGATATGTTTTTTTTGTCTTTCCCATGGATTTTGACAACCTGTCATTTAGCCAGGATGACACTTTGCAGAGCATGCCTAGTCAACATGAAAAACCTGAATGATTATGTTCATTCGACAAGTCAGAATCGGGTAAATCATCCATGCAGGACTCCCTTGAGCTCCTCCCTTCATTATACCTCCAGAAATTTTTTTATGATTTTTTTTCTGCATGACTGGCCAAGTCATGACCTGGTGTTTTTTTTAAGTGTTTGTCTGCAAGAGAACTCTTCTGACAATACCTATACCTCTGTCTTGTGCTTATTAGCATGCAGTTCAGTGACATGTTCTGGTTCAGTGACATGTTCCGGGTCTGGATAGCAGGAAACTATTTGTGAAAAAAATCACTTTATAGTCCAGCAGAGTATTAAGAATTCCTCCATAACTTCTACATCTGACAGCCTTATGTTAACCTAAGTGAGATGACATGTGGATCTGTATTTGTGCTATGGGAGAAATTACCCTACATTGTATAATTCTTTAAAATAAGTCTGTTTATAAGCCCATTGCTGTCTTCTTTCAAATATGAGTCTGTTAAAGCTATTCAGAGTTTGAAAAGTAGTCCTAAGGGAGAATTTATCTTAAAAAATAAAGGATTTATGCAAGGGTAACATCAGCCTATCCTTTTTCTTCCAGTGTTGTGTAATCAACTGCATGAAAATAAATTTGTTCTCACTACTCATGGGTTGCCACTTCGCATATAATCAAAACCATAAATGAACGGAATAGTTGGCATACTTCAGATAACACACATTTATGGGCAGTGCATAAATGCTGTTTTATCTGTCCCAGAAAAGTTTCCAGGATGTAATTAATGATGTACTGGAGCCAAAGAGCTCCCCACACAAAATCTATCACAGCATTTCTGGGAAATATACCTGAGAGATATTCTGCCAAAATGTGATAATGTGGCACTCTTCGTATAGGCACAAACCCATTGCACAGAGGGGTAAACACGTCAGGTGGTGCCGAATGCACAAGAGCAACGTATTCCAGGGATGCCATGACCACCATCACTGAGAGCATTTCCCCAGCCTGGACAGCAGGTCTCGTGTAGAGGATTAAGGGTTCTGGGCATGCAATCCTACTGATTCCTTCAAATTATTTTAATTTAGAGCCTCATACTGAATTCCCAGCAGACCCTAAGGAGAGGGAAGGAAATGTGCTAAAAGGAGAGAGAAAGAAAATATCCCCATAACTACACCTCTCTTTCTGATGGCCAGTCTGCACAGCAGGAATGAAATGCACTTTAGCTCACTCGTCTCCAGGGTAAATTGACAATGTTTTGAACAGGATTCATATAGTGCTTGAGGCACTCTCTAGTAATCACTTCAAATGCCAGCATCTCTTTGAAAGCAAAGCTTACACACATCCACTGAAGCCTTCTCCCATTGCACAACACTCCCCACACTATGAGCAGAAACCCGGTAAATTTGAAATAATACGGAGCACAAAGGGCAGCAGGGACTCTGCTTTGAAATTCAGGTCTGTTTCTGAGGGAAACAGAGAGGCTGAAACAATATCTATCCTGGTTTGTTTTTCCCTTCCCAGATGTACAGTAAGGAACAATTTTAAGTGAATTGTGGAAGAATGGGTGTGTTTAACCTTCTGGCGTGGGATAGGAAATCCTTTCAAAAGGAAAATAAGCTTCAAAACTACTTTTACCTTCCTAAACAGACTGCTGTAAGACCTAAACAAATGAAAATGTTGAAATGGTCCCTGACAGGCTGAAACAATGCTGCCTTTTTATAGAGGCTGATGTTTTCTGAGTTGTATCATTTCATAGCAACTCAAGCGGCCACTGGATAGTTAAACTCTCCTCTGACTTGCACTGAAGGAATGTTTCTAGGAGGAGATTTGAATCGGTTCAGAGCTTGGCAAGAAAGAGGCAAATCTGGGCCTCTGACTGCATGTCCTCCTAAGAGATAAACTGCAGCTCAAACCACAATTATGGGCTTGATGCAGAGATTATTGGAGGCAGACGTCTGGCTTGTGTTCATCAGGACTTCGGGCTAGATGATAATAGTCCCCTCTGGTCTACAAAACCTGTGACACTGTGTATTAATGTATCCTTGAAAAGATAAACTTAGACACAATGCTAGACATTCTTCACGTTGCCTTCTCCCCAAACAGGTGTCTGCGCCCTGGCTCCTGTGCATCATAAGCAATGCCGGTGCTCACCAGATTTGGGGTTGCAGAGGACAGGGGGGCTGCTGCTGAGCGTTGGACTACTGCTGAAGTACCCGCTGCTGCCACAGCTACTCATGCTGCTCCTCCGTACTGCTGACACAATCTTTATCTCTTTGGTGGGACTCACTAGAAAGAGAGAAAATGCAGAGAGAAAGGGAACTGGTATCAGTGATTAACTCATTTCCCTTGTTTCTTTAAAACAATAGCACTAAGCGTCCTTTTACTGACAACACTGGGAAGGGGTTAGTGTGTTCTACACAGTTAAAAGAGTCATCGTATGAGTATAATGCTGTAGCTAACGCAACAGCTGAACTGCTCCCATTGCAGTGTCTTCTAGGAGGCATATCAATGCAGGGAAGTAACTTTTTCCAATTTTCCTTTTACTTCACATTTATACTTTCACTGTTACTAGATATTGGTGTACAACAAACGCTGCAGGGCCCCTTCCCCTCACTTTTACTCATCTTGAAAACTCCACATAGAATGTATGACAAGTTATTTTGCACTTGGGGGATTTTAACCTGTTTATTTTTGTTCATGGACACCAAACTTTGATCAGCATCTGAAATGCTATTGATACAGATACAAACCCACCCCCAGAAGCTAAAGATTTGGTAAACTGAGTGGATGGACAACCCCCATGAAGAAAGACACATGATACCCAGCCCTGCTTTTTTTCAGACAAACACTGAAACACCCCTTGTCCGAAAAGGATTTTTTACCATCACATGGAGTCACCCTACAGACAGCAGTGTAGCTGATGAGTCACCTGAGAGAAAACTTGTGTGCTTTCTGTTGTCATGGTTCTGCTTGCGCAGGCAAAATGGGCTGTCATGGCTTTCTGGCATCAAGCGAGACTTCTCAGTGAGGAGCTCCATTAATCGCCGTCGCCGGCGGAAATTCATTCTGCACTGGTAGAGCAAGTTGCTGTCCATAAAATGGTGCTTGTTGGACACTAGGAAAAGAAATTAATAGGAAGTCTATGCCTGGTAGGACTGAAATCAGAGCATACCTATCTGCAATGCGTGCCCTGCACAACTCGGTGTAAGAAAGCAACACCCAGAGCTCTCCCCCGCCCTCTGCAGACTCAGAAAAATGCGGAAGGTGGACAGCTTCACACAGGCAGCTTCAACACACATGCTTTTATAGCATCGATAACGAAGTAGGGACTTTAGTGGCCACTGCTGAGAGGAATCTTCTACACTTCTTCGATTAATGACAAGCACTTCGTATTGTCAGGTGGAAATGGAAGTGCTTTATCTTTCTGTGACAGGTTGCATAATGGTCCATCTCCACATGTGCTTCCTCTGTATGTCGTTTTCTGCTGCTGGTCACTACAGACCAGACTTAGCTCCTTACATCATTTTTTTGGTAAATTCATCAGTCCAGGGCAGCCCCTGGGAGCTCTTACTGACTACCTTGTTCAGAGCTACAACACAGCAAAGAATCAAGACCTGTGTATTTCCTCTGTCTTGTTCACCACAGACACCGTGTCCCAGACACTTCCTGTAGGCCACTTCCCCTGCTTCACACGGATACGCAAGGTTTGGGAACAGGCACACCGCCAAAAATCATTTCTTACATAATGAACAAAAGTCTTAATTACAACCTGTTTCGACACTGAGAGCAAATCCCAGGTGGCTGGTGTGAGAGCAAGAGCGCCGAGCCTACCCCGCAGACTGCAGCACCGCCGTAATCTGCGTGTTCGCTGCCACTGATGCTGCATCTTAATGAAAAATGCAGCAGTTGGACAGAGATCTGTGCCAGTGCCTGAAAGCGCTCTTACTCCTTCAGGGCTTGACTGCAGGAAAGCCCTCTGGAGTACGCCCTGCATTAGTACTGCAGTGTCTTAAATAGCTGCAGTAGATGTTTTGGCTGCACGTTCTCCATCCTCACCTAGCTCCTGTGGTCACGTTTCACAGAAATGATTTCCCGCAGTTGACCTTTTCCATGAAGGATCTAGATTCTGGACTTACCAGGTTTATAAATTGCATTTCTTCCAATACTGAATCGTAAGATCTGGTGTGTTACACGTATTTATATGTAAAGTGTAAACAGATATGCACTCAGTGGTCAGTCAAGTCTTTGAGTACATGACTCGGTTATTTGTCCCCAGCCTCCTGCTGCAGACACTTAACTTTTGCCTTGCTCTTTGCTCTGCCCAATGTGTGGAGTCCAAAAGCAGCAGAGCCCAAGGTGCTGCAGCAGAGCCCAAGGTGCTACACCAGATCCAGAGGCTGGAGGCCTGATGGCCTGCTTTCCCTTCGTCCTCATCCCCAACACACTCTTTCTTGCTCTCATCCCTTCTTAATACCTCTATGTGTCTCAGACTGCCCTCCATGAACCCCACAGAAGTACACCACATACATGATAGCCCTGTAAAAAAGGTTGTATTTAGACATAAATTGCCAGCATGTTATTTGATGCTTGTGAGCTGAAGGAATAGTCCAGCCACCTTCTCCAGTATAGTTATGCCAGGGATGTCAAATCATCCAGACAATAATGAAGACGTCTGTCCTAGACCTGATCCTCAGGGCACAGGCCACCACATGGATACAGAAACTGCCATGTGGAGTCAGACCATATGTCCATATTGCAAAGAAGCATGTCTCTTGCCTGCCTGGGCCACTGTCAGAGAGGGATCACTGTACAAATGCACTTTTTTGCCTTTGGGACACAAGGAATAATCAGGACGCTGGAGCTTTCTGAACTGCACATGCTTGTGCTGATAACTGTTGTTTCCTCAAATCAGCCACGTGCATCCTCCATGAGCAAAATGGCTTTGCTACGTTAAATTTAGCACTGCAAGCAATTCATTACTGTGTTCTGACACATTAATTATTGCAGGCACACAGTGCTGCTGTGCTCCTCTTTTTGGACACATATAGTATGCAATACTATTAAATAACACTTACTAACAATCACTATTTCTGAAGAACTGAAATAAAGGAGAAAACATTTGGAGACTTGCCTATATCCACAAAAGGATTTGCTATCAGAGGCAGTTAGTATGTAGGTGTTCACAGCTACCAGTCTCATTTTCAGATCACCAACACAATTAGTAGGAATATCTAGCAATATCCTACCATGTTATTAGAATAACCTGATGTAAACACAAAAAACCCTTCCTCCTCTTTTTTTAATGACATCTTAAAGAGTTCCCTGAAACTTAAAAAGACAAGGTCTACTTATTCAGCGTGCTACTGGGATTCACACAATCATAGAACAGTTTGGGTTGGAAGGGACCTTAAAGCTCATCTAGTTCCACCCCCCTGCCATGGGCAGGGATATCTTCCACTAGCCCAGGTTGCTCAAAGCCCCGTCCAACCTGGCCTTGAACACTGCCAGGGAGGGGGCAGCCACAGCTTCTCTGGGCAACCCATTCCAGTGTCTCACCACCCTCACAGTAAATAATTTCTTCCTAATATCTTATCTAAATCTACCATCTTGAAGTTTAAAACCATTACCCTTTGTACTCTCACTACACCCCCTGATAAAGAGTCCGTCCCCATCTTTCCTGTACCCCTTTCAAGTACTGCAAGGCTGCTGTAAGGTCTCTCTGGAGCCTTCTCTTCTCCAGGCTGAATAACCCCCACTCTCTCAGCTTGTCCTCGTAGGGGAGGTGCTCCAGACACCTGGACCCACTCCAACAGGTCCATAATCTGTAATGAAAGAGGGTCCCACAAATACACCCTCAGAAGTAGGGTTACTGTTGCTAACCATTTGTGATATAAGAAATATCAGTATGGTTTCTGATTCAAGTTAAATATTATGGCACAACAGTTTTTAATTAAAACTATTCTGTTCTGTTTGTGTCATTAACTGCAGTGCTCTGCCAGTCTTCAGAAATTATGATAAACAGAGATTAACACACACTCATGTTGCAGACATCATAAAGCACTCTGAAATTCGAGAATAATTACTGACCATGAAACTAGACAATGTAAACTTTTTTATGCTAATACGCTGAATATATTTCAGTATAACAATACTTGTTTTGACTGAAATACTGTAATATTTATATACTTGCAATAGCAAAGCTTAGGCCTTACAGTGAAGTAATTCATCACTGTTGTAATTCTTTTAGTCCATGGAAGGGTGAATTTTTAGATAATAAATGAATACAAGTGGAAAAGGTAAGACCAATGACTGCATGTTGTAGCATATTTGTATATGGTTTACACACACTACATTCTGTAGCCAGAATACTTATGACAAGTTTTATTAGTACCGAATCTGGAGTACTCGTTGATTTTCATAGTTTAATTCCTTATTTCTACTGATAGTTCACATTGCATGTGAGAGTGTTAGAATTACAGTGTGTATCCTCAGTTTGAGCAAAATAACATATTTGTAGCCCATTCTTTGCATATTTAAGAAGAAGCTAAAAAAATACGTAAGAGTAGTTAGTTCAGACTGCCTCCTTGTACATACATCATCAAATAAAGTATCTCACCGAAATTATTGGTGTGCCCCACAGGGCTTTTATTTTTTTTTAATCATCTGACATATTCATGAGTTAGGATGAAATGTCCATGCCGTAACTCCATCTGGAACGGTGTCGAAAGAGGGATTTCCAGACCATGGATCAGAAGGAAGAGGTTGAGGAGAGGGAGGCAGACACCAGTGCAAGCTGCCTCTGAAGCACTCCTCAGTGGCTGACTTTCAGTCAACATGCCCTCGTCCTTGATAAATCACAACTATGTGAATGCCAGACACAGAGCATGCACAGAGGGTTGTTTTTGTTATGCTTAGTACCTGCTAGGTGAAAGGCACTGGCGCAGGCATGGGAGCTCAGCTCAACTACTTTAACAGTCCATGTTTTGCTGCAATCAGCAGAGAAAAGTGGGAGTGAAAAATTTTTCCAAGCTGAGTGTAGAATGCTGAGAGGACTGCACAGACTTGCTCAGGAAGGATTTCTTTAAAGGTAATTTAGAGGTTGTTACCTCGAGCTACCGTGAGGGTTGACTCAGAGGCAGCAGCAGATAAACCTGTGGCAGCTGACAACGCTCCTGCTCCAGGTATCTGTCCCTCGTGGAGAAGTTCCTGCCTCCAGATAGGGATTGACTTAACTGCTCCTGAGTTAGTTCACTGCCCTTCAGAATGCAGCATAGAAAAGCAAACTGGCACTCATTTCAGTTTGTCTTAAAAAGCGAGGCCATGGCTGATGAGTATCAGGACCTGTATTTGTACATGATGAGGGTGCTGTAAAGAGCAAGGTGGGGTGTCTTCACGGGTTTCTCATTCCAACTTAATTCACCAGTGCTCGTGTGGGAACATGTTCAAGGTACGATGTACACCTTATGAAACAGAAAGAAATGTACCAGAGAGTAAAGTAAAAATATGGTGACTGGTGACCTCCAAAATCATACAAGTGCACAAGGGCATTTATGGTCCTGGAGGGAAAGGCACCAACATTTAATTCAAAGTCACCATTGTCAAAATTTTGGAGGTACGGTCACAACCCACCAGTCTAATCTCCTACATACACAGGCCACAGAATTTCCCCCTGAAACAGAATTTTAAAACTCTCATTTAATCTTATAAAAATACAGTTTACTTGTACTTTAAAGCAGCCTGTAATGACCACTTTACTCTTCCCTTTAGGAGCCTTTTCAAGCCTTCAGTTACTTTCCCTGCCAGACAATAGCTCAAGGTTGAATTTGTTTAACTTCAGTTGCTAATCCCTGGACTTTGTCACACCTTCATCAGAAAGTTACATAAAGCCTGGTCAGAAATCTTTGTAAAGAAGTCTGTGAAGTGATGAAGCCAACTCTCAAACATATGTTTGATCAGCTGAATAACACCTCTTAAAATCTGACATTTTTTCAGGTCTCTTCAAGTCCTCTTCAGAATTTCTTTATCCTTCCTAAAATACAGCTATTAGCATACTCACAGTTACAACCTCACTCCCCTTCTCTTACTTGCTGCTGTCCTTTTTGTACATCTCAGGCT